TTCTCCTGTTAGGGCAAATTGCTCCATTTTATTAAACATAAGAGAAAACTGGATGAAATCAAAAGATTGGGGGGGGGGGAGTTGGAGAGTGCAGGGCAGGAGATTTGCCCCCAATTCAAGCCCAAACCACTTTTATTCAATAATTTTGGACTTGAACACCCACATCTGTGAATCCACCGATGGCTTTCCTTTCTGTTGCAAACCAAGATGTCTCCTTTTAAAAAGCTAATCAATTAAGCAGCAATTAAGCAGAACTTAATCTTTTAGCTTCATGAAAAAGGTTTGGGCTGAAATTCACATCAAGCCTCAGCCATGCCACTGCCCAAGTGGGCTTTGTGGATTTAATTTAAAAAAAAAAAACCCGCCCTACCCACGGTCTGAGTTTTATTCCCAGGCCTGCTAGGGAGGATTGTTAAATTTTTCGGGGAGTGTAAGATACAAGGGAATGAGGAGACCAACTTGAATGATCTCCAACCAGACTGATCTCAGTTGTGTCCCCAAACATCTTTGCTAAGACCTTCACATCCTTTTCCTTTCTTCTGTGAAATTATCCTGTATTTGAAATTGAAGAGAAGCTCACGCTACCGAGAAAGCAGTTGGACTTACTTCTAGATCCAGGTTGTTACATCAGATCTTGATGGGGTTGGAAGATCAGGCCAGTGTGATCCAAGCTAGTCCTGATGCCCTCCATCAGATGTATGGAGTTGAAGGCCCAGATTTCCCAGCAGTGGCAGTCCTGGCTGAGGATTCTGGGAGTTGAAGTACATGCATCAGGACCTCCAATTGGAGAATGTATGCCCGACCAGGAGAAGGTCAATGTTGTTGATTCCAACCAGGCAGGCCACTTCAGTTTTAGTAATAAATCCTATGGTTTTCAACGCAGTTCAGTTCCAGAGTGGCAGCAGGACAATATATTTGTCCTGGTTGACCCATATCATCTAAATTCAGTATGGAGGGATTTAAGGCTCAGCCCTGCCTGTTATCTGCTTTCTAAATCGCTATTTAGATGAATGGATTGAATAAGGGATGCCGTAGTGGCAAATATCTGAATAAGAGATATAAGGGATGGCCATCCTGTCTGCCTCAAGCTTTCACCAAACTCAAACCTACAAGGTAGTGCCGCCACCCACTTTCTGCTCCTACGTAAAGAGAACATTAGTGAGTGTCTTTATTTCAACATAGGCAGGCTCAGGGTCGTGGGGGGGGGGGGCGTCAAAAAAGTTAAGATGGTGGCGCGCATAAAAGGCTGAAGGAGCTTTGATGGCACCATTGGGATTGCTATTTTGACTTTTTTTTAACTGCACTCAGAGGATTAGCCTGATGAGGCTAATTCCTAATTATTCCCCGATGGACTTGTAAATCTGGCTCTGCAAATCTGGTGCCCCTGGAACTGGTGGGCTGCAAGCCTCAGATTAAAGGAAATAGTAGCCTAGAGTATCTAGAGAGTGCCAAGTTGGGGGGAAAAACCAATGTAGATAAATGCTGTAAATTGGACAAGGAGCTTGATTGGATTTCCGGAATTGCTTTTCTTCCAAAGACATCTCTTTGACTAACAAGTGAACTGAAAGTGTTCCAGGCAGAATGGAACAAGCCTGTTTGGAGCTGAGTGGATTTCTAATCAAGATAAGGTGTGTGTCTCTCTTAGCTTTCCACTACTTTAAAGCCTTTCCAGCTGTTTTGGATTACCATTCCCATCATCCATGGCCAGAACGTGTGAGGGTTCTGGTGATGGCAGTTCTGGTCCAATTCTCTTGAAGGGTGCCTGGTTGAGAAGGTTACTCTGTCTCTTCTGAGGAGGTTTTCTAATCCTGCCCCTCCCCCAAAGAAATCTTTTTCCTAGGAACAGACTACCATAATCTTAGGCAACCTGCGGTCCCTCCAAAGATGCTGGGGTCACATCCCCATCATCCCCAGCTAATCTAGAGGTGACGCCTTTGATATTTGTAAGCCAGGGTTTGCTCATTCTAAACACCCATTGTGAATTTCAGGGGGAAAGTTATCTCCATCTTGGAAGAAGTAATCCGTGCTCTGGTGCCCTGAATAGACTAGAAAAGGGAAGCGGAGTTATTTGCCCTGGTCGCGGATCCCGGCCTGCCGCTGGAAAGAGAAGAGATGTGGTCTCTGTGGCTGGAAGAAAGTCTCGTTGGGTTGAAACGTTCAAGCTGAATCTTACCAGTCATTTCCCCACCTTCCACCCAAAGTGAAGCTCGCAAAATTTGCTCAAAGCCGGGCTGTCTCCCTTGAACAGGGAGGAAGGCAACACAGTTCCCCCATAATTTCTCCCCCTTTTCTTTCAAGGATTAAACATGGACTCTTCCTGATAGTAAAGGGAAAGGTTATGCCAAGGGAAAGGAAACTAAGATTGTGGTCACATACATTTTATTGGGGGGGGGGGGAATGCCCACCCCAAGAACTTTGTACATCACAACTTCTGAACAAACCAACAAACTGTTATTACATAAGTGCAAATTATACTCTCTGGCTGAAAAGCGATAGTTGTGCGAGTATACACGAAATTTATTTCATTTTTTTTTCTCAAAAAAACAAAACAAAACAACAGCAAACTGTGATATAAACGCTTAAGGGAGGGGAAAAAAAGTAGAAATAAACTAAGCCCCAAGTGGTAACGTCGTCCTGTCAGAGTCTGAAAAACTAGACGAGTTAAACCAGAAATTTGGAAAAAAAAAAAATTGGAGATGCTGGTGGCAGTTTACTTGCCTCTCACCCGGCCCTGAAAATCAGCGCTGCTTAAATCGTGCCAACGGACTCCCTGGAATAATAAGGCAATTTCATACAAATCGAGAAAGAAAGAAGCCCTGAGGTTGGGAACGACCAAAGGTTTCCAGCACAAAAAATAAAAAAAAATAAAAATAAAAAATTCCTTTTGATTTTGTTACACTTCCCACCCCCAGCTGGGTCTCCTGTGACAGTAAGAGGAAAAAAAAAAAGGCCTGGTCTCTCTTCTTGACATCTTCACACGGAGGAAGGAGCTGAAACTCAAATACTTTGGCCACCTAATGAGAAGGAAGGACTCACTGGAGAAGGGCCTAATGCTGGGAAAGATTGAGGGCAATAGAAGAAGGGGACGACAGAGAATGAGCTGGATGGATGGAGTCACTGAAGGTGTGGACTTAAATGGACTCCAGAAGATGGTAGAGGACAGGAAGGCCTGGAGGAACGTCGTCCATGGGGTCGCGATGGGTCAGCCGCGACTTCGCAACTAACAACAACAAAAGCACCAGAGCAGGGTGCTGTCCCAGGAGTTTCCTAGAGCGGCAACCGGCTAGGCAGCCAGCGTTGCGCCCAACGAATTGTACTATAATGAGGACTATTTACATCGCCTCTGGGATGGCCTGACTAGGCTTTCAGTCGCCGGTGGCCGCCGCCGCTAGAAGGCTTTCGGTTCTTTCTCTAAATGTGCCTTTCTCTAAACGAGGTTCTCCGATGAACGACCTCGACGGACGCTAAATGAAACGGGAACGCAAAGGGCTTGGTTTCGATTCCGGGCGAAGTCGAGCACAAGCGGCTGAGCTCGGTTGGGTTACACGTGGAGCCATTTGGGCTTTAAACGTCTTTTTTTATAGATATATAAAAATAAAATAAAATAAAATAAAATAAAATAAAAAAATAAAGGGTTGCGTCGCGAAAAGAGGGGGGGGACCTCCAACCGACGCGGCTGCTGCTTGTCAAAAAACGTTCAGGTTTGGTTACCCCCCCCCCCCCCCCAATTACTCTTCCTTGGAACCGTTCCCACGAAATTAAACGGGCTTCCATCTTAAACGTCTATCGATTTCGGGAGATTTGTGCCCAGTCCGAATCCAACCTTTTTTTTTTTTTCCCTTAATGGGGCTTTTAAATAAAACACCTAGTTCAGGGGTAGGCAAGCTTGGCTCTTTTATGACTCGTGGACTTCAACTCCCAGAATTCCTGAGCCAGCCATGCTGAGGGGAAAGGGAGAGGTTTCCAAGCTGAGCCATGCTGGCTCAGGAATTCTGGGAGTTGAAGTCCACGAGTCATAAAAGAGCCAAGGTTGCCTACCCCTGATTTCCTAGCTATAAAATTAAACGAAACAAACAAACAAAAAAACCCCACGATGCGCTTCGTCTTTTGAAAAGGCAAGGCTTGCAAAAGAACAGGGCAGCCTTGTAATGCGGCTGCGGGAATCAGCGCACCAGCCGTCCTCCTTCATCCCCGGAGTCCTCTCTGGAGGACTGGACTACAGCTCCCATCGCCTTATCAAATAAAGAGGATGGGAATCGTGACCCCACTTCTCCGGAGGACCTGAGGCGGAGGGAAGAAAACTGTGCGGCCCCAAAGAAGGCTCAGGGAGTCCGCGCAGCCCGATCCTAAACAGGCATTTCCTTCCTTGGGATAGAAAGAGAGAGAGGGGGGGGGCACCTCGGAGCTCCTTCGGGCTGGGGGGGGGGGGGGTGTCTACTACCAGCAGCCTCCACATTCGGCGCCCATCGTCCCCCTCCAGCTGACAGCGAGGGGGAGGAAGCCGGAAGGGAACCATAGCCCGCCTTCCTTGTGCAATGCAATTGTCAACGGGTCCAAGGGTAAGGCAGAGATCCTGGATGGGGGTCGGTCCCTCCCTGGGAGAGGGCACAGAGGGGTCCTCCGAGGGGATCCCCACCCCACACCCCACCCCTCCGTCTTTGCTCTTCTGCAAGGCATCAGTCCGCGGATGAGAGCGAGGCTTCACGTGAAAGGGCCAGGCAAAGATCAGGCAAACGGGCCCGGCTGGAACGAAGCTCTGGTTTCGACTGCGCGGGAGGATCGCGCTGCGCGAGGTCCGCAAGAGAGAAAGGCTTGTCTCTGCGCTGTCTTCCACGGGGCGGCGCGCGCCTTCCTCGTCTTAGGGAGCCGGGGCCGTGGGGTTGATTCCGCGTCCTTCCCGGGCCCCTGCTGGATCTTGGGGCGCCTCTGCAGCCCCCCACCGCCCTCCACTTGACCGGCCGGACTGCCGGCTCCTTCCGCTGCGCCTAAGGAGTCCGCGTTTACATCACACAGGGCTTGATGTCTTGGCAGACGGTCTGGTGGTGGTGATGGTGGTGGTGGTAGTAAGAGCTGCTGGCCGAGGGGTGGAAGGACGAGATGCCGTTGAAGTTGAGGACGAAATCCTTCCGGTCGCACACTGGGCTGGGGTGGTGCTGGTACCGAGGCAGGCCCACTGCGGAGAGAGAAAGAAAAGGCGAGTCCAAGGAAAAGTTCCAGGAGTGGGGGGGGGGAACGGAGATGGGGACAGCTGTCCTGGTGTAAAATGGAGAGGTGGGAAGGTATAGGTAAAGGACAGGAGACACCTCCCCCCCTTCCAGGTCTTCCAGGTTTTGGAGAAGGATCCCAGGAGTCTGAGGGCCGCTCACTGCTCTATGTTGGTCCGTGTCCCCTCAAAACGTCCAAACCCCACATTCAGAACCGGATTAGCTCTGAATCAAACCTTTGCCATTACCTCCTTTGCTCCCGAACTTCTAATCATGGAAAGTTTGCGTTTATAATCGTAACAGAACTCTTCCAGCTTGAATGGGGGATTCAGATGGGGGCCACCAGCCATACCCTCGAAGTACTTGGCGAGCAATCTTTTCGGACTCCCCTTGAACCAATTTCTGCCTATTTTTTTTATTTATTTTTTGTTTTGTGTGTGTGTGGTGCGTCTTTGAATCAATGTGGACTCCTCCTGGCACCTGCCTGTTCAAAATCCCTGCAGTTTTCTTTGGCAAGATTTTGGAAACAGTTTGTCATTGCTTACTAAGTTCTCAACCTTCTCTTCATGGGGGGGGGGAACCCCTTTAAATACGTTTTATGGCCACAGACACCCAAGGCTTAATTCAAGATTTAAAGCATAACTTTTCTTCTAGCCTTCGAGGAACCCTGGGGGGGGGGATCCCTTCAAGGAGACCCTGTGATGACATTGTGGCCCCCCGCCAGGGGCCCGCGGACTCCAAGTTGAGAACCAAGCTTTACTTCCTATGGCTGAGAGTGAATGACTGGCCCAAGAGCGTCCAGCTGGCTTTGTGCCTGTCTCCCAGTTCTAGCCCAATGCCTTTACAGCTCATCAGACAATGAGAGAGAGAGAGAGAGAGAGAGAGAGAGAGAGAGAGAGAGAGAGTCTCTCTCACTCACTCACTCACTCACTCACTCACCAAAAGACCTGTTTACTTTTTAGGGTTAGATTTACACTCCTACCTTCTTTCTGTAGATCAAGACTACATACATAGCACTCCTTCCTTCATTTTTCATACAACAGTCCTGTGAGATAGGCTGGGCTGGCCCAAAGTCACCCACTGCCCCCCACTCCCGGTTGCCTGAGGTGGAGTCGAACCAGAGTTTCCCCACTCATTGTTCAACACCTCTATCCTCGCTTCCCCGCATCAACCCCTCACTGGTCCTGCTTGGCAGGAGAGGATTTTGATAGGGGGTAAAAGCTGAGTACTAAAAGTGAATGGAACATTACTCCTAGCCGTGGCATGGCGTGGCAGGGCTGGCTGGCCGGCCTGCTCTTCATTACAGTGAAGAGGTCACCAATCAAAAAATGTAACCCAACACCTCCAATTTCTTGAATTCTGCCCTCAGGCCTCCATTTAGTCTTTAAGCAGGCCGGCTGGGAGGAGAGTCAAGCCAATCAAAGGCCCAATCAACCAACCAATCAGTTCGGAGGGATTTGGACTTTGCTGTCTGTTTTAATTAAAATAAAATTAAAATTAACCTCACCAAAAGGCAGTGGGCTAAACATCCTTTTGTTTTCCCGCTAGTCCCATCGCCAGCAAAACCCTTCCCATGCTTGCCGCTCAAGGTAACAATAATGAGAGAAACTGGGGCCAAAATTTATTTCCTTATGTATTAGTTAGCCATTCTAAATTTTGCACTGGGGAGAGAGGAGGGAGTGGGCTACAAACATAGGGCGGTAAGTTAAATGGCATTTGAAAAGAGCAGCATCAATGCTTAGGCAGACAGTGCTGGTAAGAAGACCCAGTGGGATGAAGAAGCTAAAATATTTCCATGCTCCGCTCCTCTACTGGCCTTCCATTTTTTTTTCATTACAGCACCACACAGGCTTTGGCTGAAGTTGAAACATTTGCCACAAACCTCTGAGCAGAAGGTTTTCAGAAAGCCCCCAAATTCAAGAAGAGCCACGAAACTGGCCAAAGGGAATCTTGAGCTGGAAATCAGCTGCCCTGATTTCCTCGGGGCAGCTCGCCATCTGTTTATCCCTAGGAAAGCAATGCCCTTCTTGTTCTGACCTCTTGTTGGAAGGAGGCCTCGAGGTTTCTGGAAGAGGCTTGCCAGTTGTTCTCTTCCTACAGCTGAGATGGAGTGCCTGGCTGGCCCCAAATCCATCCAGTTGGCTTCCTTATGCCTGAGACTGGACTAGTATTCCCTTTCTCCTAGCTCAGGGGTAGGCAACCTTGGCTCTTTTATGACTCGTGGACTTCAACTCCCAGAATTCCTGAGCCAGCCATGCTGGCTCAGGAATTCTGGGAGTTGAAGTCCACGAGTCATAAAAGAGCCAAGGTTGCCTACCCCTGAGCTAGCTTCTGGTCCAATGCCTTTAACCACTACAACAGGTGACCTGGTCTTGTTCTCTTGGGAACCCATTCCTGAATCCCAATTCATCTCCAAGTAGATGGCTTGGCTGGCTTGGAATGATCCAACTTGTAAGAACTACAAATAAAGCTCTTTCGGCAGGGGTCCCCGCCGAAAGAGCTTTATTTGGTCTTGTTTACACAAGTAAACTCCATTGAGTTCAAGTGGGTGAAGCCAAGGTGAATTCATACAGGCGTTCAGTTTCATTCAATTTAAAAAAAAAAAAAAAAAGGCCAAGGGCGTGACAATCATTATAGCAGTTCTACGTTCGCTATGCCAGACAAGTGGAAAAGTAAGAGATGCTTTAATGGCTGCGCAACAACTGGGTGGAATCCTGCTTGCACCCATTGCCTGAATCGCTTGGAGCACAAAGGACGGAGGAGTCTGGCTGCCCAAAATATCTCCTGGTTCCAGCTGGCTAATTTTAGAGCTCTTGGACTTCATCCAAAGGAAGTTTCACGGAAGTTCAGCTGCATACAAACTTCCAGTCCAAATGCAAAACCTATGTGCCTTTCCCTTCCAAAGTGTGACCTTATTTCTTATTTTCTTCACTTGGCCCTTCCAGGTCTGTCTGGCCTGTTTGCAGCCACGAGGCAACTGGTTTAAGCTTTCTGTTGGAAATCTATCAGCTTTAACAATAAAGGATGTTTCCTTCTTTGATTAAAGGCTGTGCCCACAGTTCCGCTCTTCTTTCTCCTTAAATGGAAGCTCTCTTTTATGAAATCACCCAACACGGATGCTTACACCGGTATGGGCAACTCGGATTCAAGGCCACAGGTCAATCCTATTAATAATGTCTATTCAGAAGTAAGTCTTATAGCAGTGATATCAGATAGAGTAGGAATGCAATTTAGATGAGCTGTTTCTTTCCTGCCTGAATTTATTTATTTTTTTACTTATGTACACATGCACACACAGGTAGCCACAAAGCTGGGTGTGTGCTTTGTTTCTATGTAGCAATATAAGCGAAACCAAGAATTTAAACTGAGATCCAGATTCTAAGGAGCAAGATGTTGAACCCCCCCCCCTTTTTTCCCCACCAAAGCTCAATTTGGGCCATTTTAAAGGTTTTTCTCCTCTCCAGATTGGGAGAAAGACAGAATCAGATACTTCCACGTTGGCTTGCAGGAACGGTGAGTGTATTCAGTGAAGGACCTGGGAGTTATTTCTTTCTTTATGGCCTTCATATACACTTTTTTTTTTTTGGTGAGTGTATTCAGTGAAGGACCTGGGAGTTATTTCTTTCTTTATGGCCTTCATATACACTTTTTTTTTTGGTGAGTGTATTCAGTGAAGGACCTGGGAGTTATTTCTTTCTTTATGGCCTTCATATACACTTTTTTTTTTGGTGAGTGTATTCAGTGAAGGACCTGGGAGTTATTTCTTTCTTTATGGCCTTCATATACACTTTTTTTTTTTTTGGCTGGTCCTGTAAAGCCAGTTGCAAAAGGAAAGGAATAAGAACAAACCATACGGCCTGAAATGAAAACAAAAGCTTGGACACCAAGCAGCGGAATTCTTGATCAATCCTTTGGAAGAAAAGTGCAGGGTTCAAAGCGGATTTTCAAGAAAGGACCCCATTTCCTTTTAGGGAGATTATTCCAGGCTTAAAGGTCTTATTATAAAAGTAAATAAATCTCTCGCGCATTCGGTTGATCTCTCTATTCTTCCTCCCTTCCCCACCCCCCCCTTCAAATCCTGATTTCAAGATAGGCTCCGATTACCACTTGTGTTCCGTGTATTAACAGCACCAGGATTTTGCAGGATTTTGCACTGGTGCTTCTTCTGTTTATAACCAGAGCCTCTCATTTTTCGAGCCAGGGTATTCGAGGTCAATGCAGCTGGGATGGATTTCCTTCAAGGAACACTTCGCTAGCTAGCGCGGGATCTCTCGCGTCCAGAGATCAGCTCCGAGCGATCAGCCAAGCGAAGGCTTGGGGGGGGGGGAAGGTAAACAAAAGGCACAAACAAAGCCCTACTTCCTGATTTTAGCGCGCGCACACACACACACACACACACACACACAGGGCGTTTGCAGTGTAGATTTTCTTAACAATGAAATTTAACGACCTGGCTTGTTCTGCTAAGGGGGTGCATCCACAGGCTCCCGTTCTTGAATCCCACAGGGAATCCTTGAATTCCGTGAGTTTTTCTTTTCTTTTCTTTCTCTTTCTTTCTTTCTTTCTTTCTTTCTTTCTTTCTTTCTTTCTTTCCTTTCCTTTCTTTCTTTCTCTCTCTCTCTCCCTGCGTGAGTGCATCCCTCCTTTCTTTCTTTCTTTCTTTCCTTTCTTTCTCTTTCTTTTTCTTTCTCTTTCTTTCTCTCTCTCTCTCCCTGCGTGAGTGCATCCCGCCTCTCTCTCTCTCTCTCTCTCTTTCTTTTTCTTTTTCTTTTTCTTTTTCTTTTTCTTTCTCTTTCTTTCTTTCTTTCTTTCTTTCTTTCTTTCTTTCTTTCTTTCTTTCTTTCTTTCTTTCTTTCTTTCTTTCTTTCTCTCTCTCTCTCTCTC